GCAACTGAAGCAATGAATTTTTCCTATTTGGGGATACAAACTATTAGGCCAATGAATCACTCAGGGAGCTAACGAGCACCTTGGATGCTTCCCATGGAGCAGACAATGCTAAACAAAGGTCAGTGCAGCTATTTACCCCAAAACATTGCATAAGGCAAATAACATATTTGGAAGACACATATTTCGGAAAAATAGAAGGGATAATTTAGGAGACGACAGAAGAGGTGAAATTGGGTGACTACACAGGAGGAAAGAGATTGATGCACTGAGGCACAGAAATGTTCTATCATCTCTTTCTAGGAAACAGTATAAATATTCATAAGGCAATGGTAATGAAGGAAAACTGTAAAAAAAATTAAACGTAGGGGCACTGAAATAAGTCCAATATAAGTACACTGTCATTATCTGGAATGTCTAGAATATTAAAATTAGGTTCTCGGCAATAAATTTTAAAAAAGAATATTTGTGTAAAGCTGGTGACAGCAACCGAGTTTGTCTCTCAAAGACACAGAGGGGACTTCTCTGCTCTGTTGCATAGAAATATTAAATACCTTTGGTCACCAGTTATGTCTGTGGAATCTACTGACAGTAAGGGGGAGAGATGAGACACTTAATTCCTGAAAGTGAACTCACGTTTCTTTCCACAAAGGAGCCGCAATGACTAAACACAGCAACACAATTCTGGAAGCTGACTCTCCCTTTGCCACAGAAGTTTTCTCCCACCTGCTCCAGGATCAATTTGTTCATCTGTCAAATGAATGCGGTTGTACTCTTCAAAATAGTCTTTCGGTTCTTAGTTAAAATGTATTTATGTCTACAGAGCCCAGGATTACAAAAGTGAATTATTTTAAAAAACCGCTTTTAAAAAAAAAAAGTGAAACAAAAAGAACGTTAAACACGTCATGTAGTAAGCACGAGGCTTCTGTGATGATGACAAAGATAAATCTTGTTTCTTTAAGATAACAGGATTTTGTAAAAGAACTAGCTTGAGGCATGTAGGTGTGGCCAATTTATCATTGTTAGGAAGCTGGCCATTCTTCCTCAGAGGAGCTTGTGACAAGACTGTCTGCTCCTTTAAAAAGAATAGCACTCAAAGATTGTGATCTCCATCACAAAGCCACTTGAAACACTTAGAAAGCTCAAGTTAGGAAATTTAAAAAGATATCAGATCACAAATTTTCAAAATGGAAAATAATGGTTTAGAGAAACAAAGAAAGTTACTCAAAATCATTGTCTCCTCATCACAATCTAAAGTATAATTTTTGAGAAAGAATTCCTTCATTTAGTTATTAATATATCAAATTAAAATTTTTTAATTCTTTCTCTAAGGAACAATACATTTCAACCACAGATACATTTTTTTTCCATGAAATTTTTTGCTAGCAAAATGAGCTCAAATTTTCTTAGAGTTCACAAAATTCCTGTACATCTAAAGAATAAATTTATATTAATGCTGGAAAACCTTCTCTATTAATCTCCACCCCTACCCTCAATATCAGTCTAAAGCTACAGTTATGTTACAACCAAAAGTAGTATAAAATATAAGCCAACATTTCAAATGGATATCTTCTGGTAACATTAATGACATTTTAAAGAGTAGTGATAGCTCATACATTTTCTTGAAATATTAGCTCGTGTCATAGAAGGGCAGGTTAATCTACTAAAAAGAAAAAAAGATCAACGTAAAATAAAATTGAAAATATTTATCAAAATATACAAACTATTTCCTTTTAGATAAATTGTTACAACAGATATGGTAGTAAATAATAGTTACTTGAAATGTATCGAGGAACAAAATATAGACTTGACTAGACAATACTTCATCACACAATTCTAACTGATAATCTAGTATCCATCTTAACAGTCAAACACCAGCCAGAGGGGCCAGGCTGGTGGCATAGTGGTTAAGTTGCCGTGCTCCGCTTCGGTGGCCCAGGATTCGCAGGTTCGGATCCCGGGCGCAGATCTACACACCACTCATCAAGCCATGCTGTGGCAGGCGTCCCACATATAAAGTAGAGGAAGATGGGCACAGATGTTAGCCCAGGGCCAATCTTCCTCACCAAAAAAGAGGAGGATTGGCAACGGATGTTAGCTCAGGGCTAAACTTCCTCACCAAAAAAAAAAAAAAAACTGTAAGTAAATAAAACTAGGTTAAGTTCCTTGATATGGAGACTTGGCAAGCCCGTAAATCCATCAAATGAAATATCATTGGATGAGCAGAGAACATTGAGAAACATACATATTCTCACAGGATCACACCCATAGCTTGAAGTGGTGGTTCTAAAATTTTTAGAGACTCAGATGCCTTTGAGAATTCAAGGAACTTTTGGCTCTCTCCTAAGAAATTTGCACAAACACATAAAAGTCTGCAGTGCATCTTCCGGAGATTCATGGGAATCCAGGAAGTGACCTTTGACCCCATGACTACTGCAAAACCAGGGACCAACTGAGTCCGGATTAGGAACTTTTGCCTAAGAATAACAGCATCAGCTGGTTGTGTGTTAAAAATTCCATTTTTGTTTTTCAAAAAAACATGTCAGTATAAACCGTTAGACTACAAAAGATTGTATCTCCGTGGAAGCATCATGATGCCCGTGAAGACACATGTATCAGGTAAGTCGATAAAGATCTCAACCCCAGAGCTGTGAAGGTCCATTGCACGAGCTCAGTCTTATTACCTCGGTAAGGAAAGTCTTAACCTTCATCGCACCTGCTAAAGTACTGCATTATTCCTCCTTAGTTCTCAAGAGAAGACAATAAAGAGAATGCACTGCTTTAGAAATCATTTTGCATGACAAGAATCTTTTTAAACTAGAAATTTAGCATCAAGGAAATTGAAAGCGCTCTACAGCTCCCAGGAGGCACAAAAGAGTCATGGGCAGACTGGGAAAGTTTCTAATTCAGTTAAGACATCAGACACAAAGACCTGGAAGTCATCGATTTTCTGAGTTCTGTGGCTAATTTAGCAGCTAGAATCCTGAAGAAGTGATTCCAGCTCCTTCAAGGACATTTCTATGGGCCACAGTTTTCACCATTCTTTCCTTTGAGAAGTTAAAGTGAATTTAAAGTTATCAGAGCAGCTCTTTAGTAGGTCATAAATGAAACACCACTGGTCTGGATTAAACATAAAAATGCACTTATTTTTATGATATAAATTATATATAAAAATGTACTAAAAAGTGTAAGAAAGAATAGTACAAATATGGTAAAAGTGATAGAAAAAATAGTGGGTTATGGGCAGGAGAATAGAATGAGGGAAGAGAAAGAGGCCAATATAAGCAGCTAGACCACCCTAAAGAAAGAATGGAGAGGGCCCGGCCCTGTGGCTTAGCGGTTAAGTGCACGCACTCTGCT